TTTTAAATTCTCCGTTATTTTCTACCTTAACAGGCGAGAAGCCGTTCTTCAAAAAGCTGCTGTCTATCGTCTGTATATAAATTGCCAGTTATAAAAGCACACGAGCAAACGTAATGACAGAAAATACACTTCCTGTGGCGCATGAAAAAGGCATTTATCCAATTTGTTGAGCCAAGCTGGATCGTAGAAACAAAAATGACGACCTCGCAAAATCCTATAAAAGGTGAAAGCTTAGCGTCGTTGCCAGTCAGTATGTTTTGACGGAAGAACACTTTATAGGCAGCACTAAATGAGAATTTTCAAAACTCTTCAACTGGGAATATTGTTTTGTTTGATTTTATCTCCACAGAAATCCCTGATAACGTTTTATTGAAATCACCTTACCGCTTATTCGTAGATTCTGGAAAAAGGCAAAAACTATGACAATCTGAGGAGTGCACACCGGTTCCATAACCGCATCATTGATGAGCTTACTCGCTGTCTCAGGTGTGTCTTAAGATTTTATTTTGAATTTTCCAACCTAAAATTTGTCTCGATCAAACATGACTTTCAAAAACAGTGTGGTCCCTTTATTGTATATCAGAATACATCAACGAATTCTAAAGGTAACCATAAGGCCTATAGCGGTTCTGCTCGGAATTTAGCCTTAACAAGCTTATACTCAAAATAATTTAACAACAAGTGATATGTGTCTGTAAGAGTTTGTTTTTATGAAGAAATGATAAAACAACATCGTTAGGCACCGCATGCCGTCTCCGAAAAAGTTCTTCTCATCCAACTACAGTAGAGCCTCGCTTGACGAGCAGCCCCATCTGCGAGCATTTAAGGTAAAGAGTGAGCCGCTAGCAGAAAATTTGTTTTGATTGACGAGCCTTCGCTCAGTTAACGAGTAGTCGTTGCGTGTGCGTGTATGCGTGCCTGTGTCCGCCGTTGAGTCTTGCCCCCGGGTCGTGGTTCCTCGGTCGCCTGCAGTTAATCAGTGAATAGATGCAGTTTGGTTGGCTACGTTTCGCAAGAGGAGCTTTTCAAATGACGAACTCGGTACTGGAACAGATTAAACTCGTTCACTAAGGTGGCACTGTGATATTGTCAAACTTTTCTGAGCCTCGTATTAGCAAAGGAAGATTTTGATAGTTAATACATGTTGTCAAATACAAATGAATTAGCATTTTGCACTAGGATGTTGAAATGACAGTGTATTTTGAAAACGTAACGACACAGCCAGAATTACTATTTACTCAACTCGTCTATTTCTTCGTTGCTTTAAGGGCATACGATGTTGAAGTGCGTGTTGTGCACTTCAAACACTATGACTTCAGTGATGCACAGTGGTCGGATTTAATCCTGAGTGTTGGTGGTGATGGTACCTTCCTCTCCGCGGCCAGCAAGGTTCTCTCAAGAGACAAAGTGTTG